ACACACACGCCTACTACTGAACTACTGAAGTCGCGTCAGCTCAGCCAACAGCCCAAAGCCCTCGTAGCAATCTGGACCGCTTTTGGCATGAAATATTATTTCTGAAATATTGCTTACCAACAGGTTTCATCCTTTACATTAATTATCCTATCTCACCATTATCACTGACACACTTTACAAAAGTTACAAATATGAAATAAATAAAAAAGAAACCCACAGTTTGATATCTTATACTACAAATTAGATACAGGCCTGTTCTATTTGTCTGTGTGACCCTGAACATCATGAAGGACATGATGTGCTGTTGCTCAGCATCACCTGTGCATGTAAACACAACTTCATTAAAACAGCTCACATGCAGCATTAGCATCTTCTATTTGTTTCTGTAACACAGCAGCTGCTTCCAGACTCCACACACACATACAGACACACATTACGTTGGGCTGGATGAGAGATGTATGCACGAGTGCTTACCACAGCTTATAATTATTCTTCAGAGACCAATTATGAAATTCTTCTCTCCACACATACTCTGCATTTACTCCAAAGAGCAAAACCCATGATCCGAGCTTGTTTTGCTCTAATTCACAACTAATCAACTAGATGATGAATCAACGTGAAATTCAAACTGCGTGTCTGTGATTATGCATGATGCATGAACAGCGTCAATATAAACCAATTAGAGACACAAAGTGGTAACACAAAAAACTAAACAAACCTTTAATCAACAAACAGTTTAGAAGAGAAACCAGAGAACAGAGATAACACATGCTGTAAAAGAAAAACTCCAAAATTAAAAAAAAAAAAAGTCACATGTTTTCCCTGTAATGAGAAAAGAACTACAACAAAAAAAAGTTTATTTAAAGATCACTTAATGGAAGTTGAAGGGCAGTTTTTGAAATCGGTCAATAATTCCTTTATAATACACAATTATACAACATGAAATTAAAACTATAAGAATTAATGTCTTAGTATAAGACAGACACAAGGGAAAGTCTTACTAAAGATGTTCTTAGATTTATCCAACTGAAATCTGGTGAAAAACAGTAATGTCTTATTTACGCTGACAAATTCATCCTTCTAAAGGAGTAGTCCTGCCTCTTAAAGGAGAAATTATCATGATTTTGAGCACTACAAAAATACAGGTTTTGAATAAAAAATTTCTATTGACATCCTAATAATTGGCCTACATTTTGAGTAATCAGGATTTCTTTCTTTTCTCAGTGCAGGAAAATGTGTTTAGATTCTTGTCCATGGTAATCCCACATACACTACACATGCGGTAGATAGAGATAACTTGTAAAAATTATGGCGTATTCCTTTAATAGCATGGCAGGTAACACTATACCTCAAGGTTCCCTAAATAGACACTGTTTAACACAATAGTTAACATGAACAAACCATGAAGTTCAGCATTACCAAGACATAAGATCACATTAGAGAAGTAACTAAATAATAATAAAAAAAAATAATATAAGCCAAATAATCAATGCAATCAATGAACCAATGTTCATACCATAAATGAGACCAGACTTCAGGAAGTTATCAACATTAAATAAACATCAATTAATATATGTGGTAACTTACTGATTGTTTATTAACACTGAAGTTCATAGTTTGTTAATGTTAATTAATGTAGAAAATAATGTTAATTAAGGGACCCGTAATGTAAAGCAATACCACACAGTAGAACTGTAAAGTAAACACCAGGACTGCTTTGAAGCGAGTGTCACAGCCTAGGATTCTGAACAGCGCACAATGCTGGAAATCATTCATATCAGATTTACAACACAATTTACAACCTAAGGAAAGAGCTTGTGTTTGAGTGGATTTTAAAAGGGCCAACTGCCAGCCTATCAAATCTCTTCATTGTGTAGGGCTGGGAAGGAGAAAGTGAAAATGAGAGTGATGAAAGTGAGCCTGGTGAGGCCTCATGAAAAAGAAATCAGTTTTATAGAAAGTAACATAGCCGTGGAATTAAAAAGAAAAACTCCCATCACAGTGTTAAATTCATATCTACAGAGTATTACAGTTCTTTCGTTTCTTGAGAACATTGGTTGGCACACAGAAAACTCTCCATATGTCCAGACTACAAACACAAAAGCCAGCAATGTCTCTGGATGACCATTTGGCCTTTTCAGTCCCTTTGTACCTTTACTACTTTATGCTGACTAGATGAAATCTAGTACAAAATTGAGACCTTAACATTTACACCACAAGCCAACTCTTCCATGCATTGAACCCTCAACACCATCTCAATTTTCTTTCTTCGCCCGTTAGCTTGCGAACTTGTTCCGAATGATCTCGCCCCCCTCCACTTCCACCTGCTCATACAGCCACTTCCTGTCACACCGGCACTCGACGCCACACTTGCGGGAGCCGCAGTCGGGACAGGGGTAGAAGCAGCCCATGCAGTCCACATCCAAGCAGTCGCACAGGTCTCTGCCACAGGAGATCAGCAGACCTCGGCTGTCGTACACTTTGCTCTTAGCTGTCATGACCTGCCTGAATTGGAGAAAGGACATGAACCCAGAAATGTGGCTTTTAGTGAGTCTCACCATGCCCATATTATAACATGACTTCAGAAATCTTCAACTCATATATAAAAAAAAAATAGTTAAAAGATTTTCCAATACAGAACAGCAATTCCCAAACGTCTCCATATGTGAATTTTTCATACATGGAATCCAAATTCAAATCTGATACCTGTCGCTGGATGAGACCTTTGCTCCTCCACGTCTCCTGTATGCATCATTTCCTGTTCTTCCCTGTAAAAAAAAAAAAAAAAACTTGACGTATCAGAATTTGACTTGTTTTTCCATCATTTCCATCACAATCACACAGTAATTGTGTATTTCAAACACTGTTTCCATTTATTTGTTCCACCTGAGTCATGGGCTGTGTCTCAAATCATATACTACTGTACCAGAAAACATCTTGTGGTGCTGTTGGGTGTCAATACACTGCCAGTTTACATACAAACACTTGTGATACCTTATAGCAACAGTTTCGACCATCAGTCAACAAAACATAAAATACGAATGGCTCCAACTGCCCTGATATGCAGTAATACTGACTATTCCTAGCTTTAGTGGTCCGGAAAATGGCATTTTAACCATTCTGGGTTTAATAAAGCTATATCAGAGGATAAGATTTTTACAAACTTTTATGTAATATCACAAAATATTTGTGTACAAGCTTCGACATGACAGAAGTGTCTTCTGTTCCCTGAGGAGCTAGAGGATATTCCTCAATTTTTCATATATAAGTTCAGCAGATAAGTTCAACACAGTGGTGGCATCAAAACTGTCTTCTATTATTACCATTTAAAGAAAAGGAAAATAAATTTCCTTGGTAATAACTGCATCAGTTTTTCCCATGTATAAATAACTATGTAAAGAGAACAACAGTACTAAACATGTAAGCAAACATGCTTCAGTTTCAGCCAGTAAAACAGCTGTAGGTATGTTACCTTTTGGCTTGTATCTCTTGTGGTTTGTCTCCTCTCCTTTGTGCACTGCTGTTTACCTCCATCAGAAATTGAACCAGAACGGGATTCCTCTTTCGTCCCCAATCCTCCACGGTTCTTCCGTAATTCAATCTGGAAGGAATTTAAGTGCATTATTAAATAGTTTATATACAGCTTATAGCATAATCCTCAAACTTGACCCTTTACTTCACATCATCTACTGTGTAACGACTTCAGTGCAGTATCAAAAAAAAAGCTTTTGACAAATATATTAAAAGTTAAACTGGTCTAGTTTCCTTTCTGAGGATCTCTCACTTGACAGCTTTCTCATGTAAATAAGACAGATGTACGCTACAGATCTATGCACATCGTATCAGAGTAGAGATGGAGTTGGAGGGGTGAGGATTATGCCATGCACGTAAAATATCATATTACGGTATTGAAGACATTTTTAAGATACACAGTATGTATTGGTTTGATAAATGTTTTACTGGCAGTTGGTTATGTCTACAATGTCTGCAAAAATAAATTACTTTAAACTGAAAAGAATTTTTAAAAATATATATACATTAGTTTCTCAAAAACACTTTACAATTTTAAAGGTTCAGTACGAAATTCTAACTTCAAAGTTTGTCATTGCTGTTTTATATAACAGATATCACAATATCTCAGAAAAGTGTACTAACACACACAATATCACAATATCAACATTATTATATTGACATTTCCCAGCTGTACATGCAGGCACTCAGATGATTTTGGGCTTGTATTTTGGAAGACAAACATAAATTATAGAGTTTGTAGTTTTTGGAACTTATTTTGGTATGCATTCAAAAATATTTGATAATCATATGAATGACAATCTTAAATCTGATAAATGCATGGATTGTGTTTGTCACCTGCACTGATTTCACTATCACCCTTCCTTATTCAACAGGCTCTTTTAATAAAGTCCTCATTTATCCTAACTTACAGCTACAGTGCCTTCCAGAATTATTTGTATCTTCCACATAACAGTGTGCTATGTGCTATAGACCATTCCACAGACAACACTATGCTACTATATTTTACTTTAGTCCATAGAGCCACACACAGACCTTTGCGCCATCCGCCCCCTCCTTGGCAGAGTGTGAGAAAATCGTAGGGACAGCATCTTCCCTCAGGAACTGTTTGCCATTGTAATCGCGGAAGCAGTCGGGCAGGAAGTGCTCTGAGCACAGACATGAGTTGGTGGTCGGGACAAAGTTTTTTCGACCGAGGCTTCGCACCCACTGCTCTGCTAACTGAGGCTTGCTGATGGGGAATCTGTAGAGAAGGAGATTAGTTCAGCCCAATGGATATATCATCACAGCTACAAGTTTTAAAAGATTTAACCAGACAACCCAGAGGAAACCTTTCTTTTATTGTATACCTACTAAATCCCCCTATAGGGTAGGTTTACATGATGAAATGCTCAACAAGTGCAGCTACAATGTAAACTGGGTTACCAGGAGCACACTATAATGTATTTTATGCCAAAGAAGTTCAATAGGTCGTAGTAGTCCAGTGGTTAAGACGTTGGCCTTCTGACCAGAAGGTCATGAGTTCAAATCCCAGCACTGCCAAGCTGCCACTGCTGGGCCCCTGAGCAAGACCCTGAATAAGCTCAAATGTATAAATGAGATAAATATAAGGACAAGAGCACCTGCCGAATGCCATTAAGAAGTCTTTTTTTTTAATTTATCATTTAAAATGCTGCTGTACTTGCATTGTTAAAATACAGAATATTTAATACACAGATGTAGCATATCTCAAAGCTGTCAACCAAATTTAACATAAATGTTAAATTAATATATTATATATTATCCTATTCTTGCTGAAATTGGCCTACATTTTATTGTATCAGTTCTGTCACTGCATTATAAAGTTATTATTCATACACGAATATCCAGTTTAACTAAATCACCTCTGGCGACAAGAAACTCGAGGCTGCACCCCAAAACGCAGCCAGTTCCCTTTATAAGTGCACTGTCTAGGGCACGACGGAACGGCGCGTGAACCCTTTGTAGTGCACTCTATATACAAGAAGGAACTATTTGGGGTTCAAGCTGCACCGACTTCATGAATAGTCCGTAAACGTTTAACTTGTTCTTAAACCTTCTCTAGAATACAACCTGTGCAAAATATTACATATAAACGCAATTGTAAACGAGTTTATTTGCTACAATGATATATTTGAAAGCAATGTTACCTGTAAAATCGGATCTCGGAGCCTTTCACGAACCGGTTTGTGCATCCGAGGGCTGAGCAAGCAATAGGCATGGTCTTAAATCTTCAGAAGTGTTAAATTCTGAGACAAATAATAAATTACCTAAATGTAAAACCATGTAATAAACATTTAATGCAGATATTCAGATAGTTCTAACATAAATAATAACAGGGGACCAACGTGTACCTCTGTCTGTAAATACCAGAGCAAGCCAGCGCTTCTTACATAACAGTTACACCGCCCTCTAGTGGCTGGAGTACACGTCACAATAATAAAGGTACTGCAGGAAAAGCATACTACTTTACTAAATAGTATGGCAAATTAGTACGCAACCATAGATTACCATAGCTATTATAGAGTATTTTAACATACTAATTAGTACGATCTTATTATCTTTTAATAGAACATAGCGTCTCCAAAATAAGCTTGTAAAGACAGTTATACACTTTTATTGTGAAGTAAAGCTAGACACTATCCGTCCTAAACAGTATCCGAGATACTAATTAATCTGTCCCAAATCGTAGTATGTTGAAATGAGTATCCCAAAGGTACCCGGATGTTCTAGTATTTCCGGTAGATTTTCGAAGTGTGGAGCCGTGGACACTTTTTTTTTCAGCTAAAATTGCCCACAACTCCTTGCGCGTAAATGAAATGTGGAAAACAAAATCAAAAGGAATGGTAAATTAAATTATATAGTATAAATTATATAATGAATAATGAATGAAGAAAAGCTGAAATGCAGGGAGGAGTTTGTTTCCGGTGACAGTGTGCGTAACTAGGCAACAACGTTCTCTTCCGCTACATGACGTGCATACTCTTTTGCTACACACTCAAAAGTATGTACTTTTTCTTCACAGAAAGACCACATACTTTAGTGCATAATATGAGTAGGCGAATTGAGACGCAGCAAGAGTTTAGGATAAACCGGAAGTAAATCATGTCTAAGCGATGTTGCTTGGAAATGAATGGGTTTTGTAGTGTTAAGCTCACTTTTTTGTATCGTAAAAATCCTCAGTGTTAAAGGATCATTAGGAATTCTCCATGGAGCATTTTGAGCAGGATTTAGTTGAGGCTCTGAGAGATGTTGTGAAAGCTGGGAGCTGGCAGTGTGTCGGAGAAGCAGCCAAGTTCAAGGCACCGTGCACCAAGTAGGACAAAAATGAAATAAATAAAACGACATTTTTCTTATATAAACATCACTTTGCCTCTGAATCCTCTACAATCTGTTTAAGGTTGTACTCTGAGGATGGAGAGCATATCGTCCTTGTGCGAACAGAAGACGGACGGTTTTGGGCGATGGATTCCTCCTGCCCACATGAAGGTGTGTTTTCACAAACACTTACAGAAAAAAGAGAAGAAGAAAGAGCCTTTTAAGACGACTTTGTTCTTACCATAATCAAATTAATAATTAAAAAAAAACAACAACAACAAAACCCCAATAACAGCCACCATTTCACCAACTCAGCATACAGTCTCTTCTGAGACTAATAACATCATTTATAACCCATGCTGTTAAATTCTTGATTCTGATTGGTCAGAAGGTGTTGATTAGTTTCTATAGCAGCAGCTCTGACAATAGTTCCTGCTGCAAGGTTTATATTAATGCGCTCATGCGAATAGGTAATCGTTTCCATAGTAACGGCCAATTCACAGGGACTTGTATGTATGACGCGCTATGTAATCTAGACCTAATAATAAACAAAAAACATTAAAAACATGTCATGTAACAAAGATAAACGTGTAGTCGTTGATGTGGTGAAGTTTTCTGTTAGGAGACATTTATGGAAGGAGTCTCCAGTGTTAGTCCTTTGTTTTCCTCCACAGGAAAGTCTTCAGGACAGAGGAGGTTTGTGTGTTGTAGTTTCTTGGTAACATGACAAGCTACATTTATTATGTTATTAACTTCAAGAGACAGAAAAAAAAGGATGTAAGTGATAAGAGGAACTAATGTGTCTCAGATGGTGCACAACACTAAATGTAACTGTAAACAGTTAAAAAGCTCAATGTGCCATTCATTAATAAGTTGTTGTTGTTGTTGTTCCTCTTTCGGCTGCTCCTGTTAGGGGTCGCCACCGCGGATCGTTGCTCTGCGTATTTTGATTTGGCACAGCTTTTACGCTGGATGCCCTTCCTGACGCAACCCTCCCCAATTTTATCCGAGCGATAAGAGCGCACTGTTGCGTGCAGCCCCAGTGGCTGGGGTTGATCTCCTGGCTGGGAGTCGAACCAAATGAGAGCGCTGTGGCCTAACCACTAGTCCTCCAGGAACCCCCATTCATTAATTAAATTAAAAATTGTAATTGTTGGTAAATTGCTGTAGTATAAAAGGAATAAAACCCTATGGGATGTGCTGTTATAGGAAAATAAACAACTGTGAGGTGGTAACAGGAACTCCGCTTCACGTCAGGCCGCATCACACCACCCCATTGTGGATTATTTTCCTATAACAGCATGTCATGTTTCATTTTCTTGCCTAAAGTTTATTATATCATCCATCAGCACCACAAAATAATGAACCTGCAATACATCATTTATTCTAAAAAGTCTAAATTATTGATTATTTAACTTTAATTGTGTAAATACTAATCTGCAGAGAACATTATATGTGACTGCTAAGCTCTCCATCTCCTATTTTCTTCACTGTACCATGAACAAGCTGGATAGAGGTTGGGGTGAAACTGAAATGTCTCTGTCGCCCTCTAGTGGCGTCCTGCAGTACAAACGTCTAAACTTGTATGAACAAATGAAGCACTTGGAATTCAAACTTAGAATCCAAGTTATACTTACAGTAATTCTGTCAGCCCTGACAGTTACCTTAACATTAATATCCTTCCCAGTATTTTTCTTCAATTCAATTTTATTTATATAGCACTTTTAACAATGGACATCACAAAGCAGTCACAAAGCAGCTTTACAGAAATATATAAATTCTGGATATAAATTTTAAATTTATGAATTTATCCCTAATGAGCAATCCAGAGACAACGGTGGCAAGGAAAAACCCCCTGAGACGACATGACCAAGAAACCTTGAGAGGAACCAGACTGAAAAGGGAACCTCATCCTCATCTGTGTGACACCGGATAGTGCAGTTATAAATAATTTCCCTTTTATAACCGTGTGCTATATAGTCAAAAAGTGCATTTTAATATGAAGTCCAAAAAGTTCATTTTAATATGAAGACTACTTTGTTGAAGTTATCAACTGTTCACTGATGGAGACTTGAGTGCAAAACTGTTCATGGGAATTGCAGTCCTAAAGCTATCATAGCAATTGTAGTCCTAAGCCACTGTAGCAAAACTGTTTGTATCAGTTGCAGTCCAAAGCCATCTTCATCTTTAGGCTGTCCATACAGGGCCATCCTCAGCAGCAGCGAATGCTGCTCATTTGTGATAAAACACAAATGTGTTTTATAGAAGTTATTGAATGGTAGTTGTCAGGGTGGGTTAAGCCAGGGACAGTAAAAAGTACAAGTTTTTGAGTTGTACGGTCTCAGCTCCAGAATGATTGATTTTCGCTAAGTCATGTTTGCTGCCAAGTCATTAATTTGTCTAGAGAGTAACTCTGACTGCTTTCTGGTCTTCTACAAGCTGTTTAGGCTGCAGGGCTTGGGCCAAATTTGGCTCTAAACTAGGGTCTAAATGTGACAGACGCATACTAGGGTCTAAATGTGACAGACGCATACTGTGACAGACATACAAATTTGGCTCTAAACTAGGGTCTAAATGTGACAGACGCATACATATAGAGCAGGGGATGTCTCAGTCAGACACAGCATCCTTGAGATGGTCAGTACCAGGCAGTAAGCATAGCTGATGTCCTTCTTCAGCTTCCACAAGATTCAAACCTCAGCTGGACATCAGTATGGTTATTTTTGTCTGTTCACTCATGCATGTATAGCATGAATTATGGGCAAATCTAACCCAAGACTGCAATGAACAATGCGTGGTATTTTGAAGGAAACCCACTCAACCACACTAGTGGCATGTTAGCCACAGGTGTGCTAGTTGGCTAGATGGTGGGAGACAAAACCCAGACTGAGAAACCTGGAGATTATGCAGAGAATACAACTACAAAGTGCAAGTTCATAGAGCTAACATAGCAAAAGATGTTGTGTGTGACGGCCAGTGCAGGGTATTAATGTTAACAAGGGGAAATATCATATAAAATAAGCACAGTCGCTGAGGTAGAACAGAATGAGAGGTAGCTATCCCCAGTTTTGAATGACATGTCAACTGGAGCTCTGACCATTTTCACAAGCTGTTACGCAGAGAGCTCAATATTGTGTAGTCCAAAATATGTATGAGGTGAAAAGCAGAAAGGGAAAGATGAGTATATGACAGCAGTGTTTGTTGCA